CAGAAACCAATATCAATCAATAGTTCCTTCAAATCCCAGAGATATCTACCAAAAGAGTATATCATTCCCCGAATGTCTTCAATTCCCACACATATTCTTCAAACGTATTCAAAGGGAGAGCTAATCCTTACACTCAGTAAAGATCGGATACTTTTGTTAACACAAAAGCTACCAAACATTGAGTGTCTGGCAATCAGTGACTTCAACACCGATTATCAAACATTGTGTGATATTCTCAATGCCATGAAATCATTGAAAAAGATATATATTAGCGTATCCGCTGATTTCACAGTCGATGAAAGCATAAGATTGGGACAATTGTTATCGCAAAATGTCACTCATTTTGGAATCGAACCAAATTTTACAAACTTTGCAAATATGATTGAATTGATCCGAGAGTTAACCGGATTAACAAATCTATGTATTACTATATTTGGGAAAAATATTATTTCCGATTTATTCAATACATTACCGAAGAGTATTAAATCGTTACAACTCGAGGCCTACGCACCCATTGATCAACAATTAGCGCAAACTCTTATTGAAAGCAGTGGTAAACATTTGGATTCTCTTTATATTTCAAATTCATCCGGTTATATGACTAGTGATGCGTTGGAAGTGATCATCAATGGTATGGCATTGAAAGCGTTTTCATATGATTTGTATTCTCAAACAAATCAATGGCATTGTTTGCAAAGAGTGGCCCAAAAGCAGACAAATCTCATATATCTGGGTCTCGATTATCAAGGGTTTAGTGATTATGAATACACCGAGAATTTGAACCAATTTTTATCAGTCAAAACACTTTCACTCCATTCGTGTCATACAAGAGAGTTGGCATTTGAAGGGCTCATGAAATGCTTTCCAGTGCTCAAAAATTTAGTCCTAAACAACACAACAATTTATTGTGATATCAGTGATAATGGATACAATTGTTTGACATGTTTTCGGCAAACCTATCATTTGATCGCAAAACACACGAAAATCAAAGTATTGAGTATTTGGTACAAAAATTCGGCTAAAAAGACAGCCGTTTTATGTAAAACACTCAATGATTTTTACAATTTATCGGCCATTCATTTGATATATTTATATCATAGCAATGTTGGCGAGGATTACACTGAAGTATGCAATGAGTTCATCACTGATTTCATCGATTAGTATTCAATAGACCCGAAGAAATGGTTCACAATCTGTGTTCACAACAATACCGGAGATCTTACTATTGAGAGACAAATACCCAGAAATTTGAGAATCAGAAGGAATTTGTATTGAAATTTCAATTTCAATTCTAGTGTTATGTTCACTATTATTAATAAAAATTCAAAAAATAATAATTTAAAATTTTATTGTTAAAAATTTATATAATTTTATTTTCAAAAATAAAAAAAATGAACTTTAAATTTTACTACATTTCGAGATTGTGTTCAAAATGAGTGCCGAAACGGACGGACAAAGTGGTAAACATCTGAAGACAGTTGTCTTAAATCATGATATAGTGATTGAGATCTTCTCATACCTTGAAATCAAAACATTGAAACCTTTGGAAAGAGTCTCAAATCAGTTCCAGTTTTGCGCCAACTATTGGTTCCGCAAACAGAAAACACTTTCAATTAAAAGTTGCGATGAAATCATTAGATATCTACCAAAAGATGATATCAATCCTCAAATGTCTTCAATTCCGACACATATTCTTGAGACCGATTCGGACGGGAAGTCGAGTCTAACACTCAGTAAAGAAGCGATACTTTTATTGACACAAAAGTTTTCAAACATTAAATGTCTGTTTCTCTTTCACTTCAACACCGATTACCAGACATTACATGATATTCTCGATGCCATGAAATCATTGAAAAGTATAGACATATTTGGTTTCTACCAATCGTCGACAGGAAATGCTCAACGATTGGGTCAATTATTGTCGGCAAATATAATCAGTTTATATGTCAGCCCTGACCGCGAATACAGCGTTCAAGTCATTGCATTAGTCCGGGAGTTAACCAGATTAACACATCTATACATTAGTTTAGGGGATAAACATAGTATATCCGAGTTATTCAAAGCATTGCCTGCGAGTATCAAATCCCTACAACTCGGGGCTCACATAAGCCTATCAGCAAATATTGACCAACAATTGGCGCAAACATTGATTGAAAGCAATGGCAAGCGTTTGGAAACGCTTAATATTTTTGGCAGCCGTTTATCAACAGAAGCGCTGGAAGTGATCATCAATGGTATGGCATTGAAAACATTTTCATATGAAAGTAATGCAAATTTATGGCATTGTTTGCAAAGTTTGGCCCAAAAGCAGACAACTCTCATAAGACTGGTTCTCAATTGCCAACACTTTGGCGCTTATGATTACACCGAGAGTTTGAGTCAATTTTCTTCAGTCAAAATACTTTCACTCAATTCGTGCGATACAAGTGAATCGGCGTTTGAATCACTCGTGAAGTGCTTTCCAACGATCACTACTTTAGTTCAAGAAAAGACATCCATTCGCTGTCCTATCGGTCGATACGATTGTTTGACATGTTTTCGACAAACATATTATTTGTTCGCAAAACACACAGCGATTAGAAAATTGATTCTTTATGAACGAGATGTCGATAAAAAGACAGCCGTTTTATGTAAACAACTCAATGAGTTTAGAAATTTATCGGCCATTCATTTGCACCGTTCGAACCCATATTCCTATTCTTACCGATATATTCCTGTGGATTACACAACAGTTTGCCGACAATTGATCACTGATTGCATCGATTGGTATGAAATACCGGCGAAAAAATGGTTCACAATCTGTGTTCACAACAAAACAGGAGATCTCAATATTGAGCGACAAATTCCCAGGAATTTGAGAATTAGAAGAGATTTGTAATGAAATGAAATAAATTATTTCAACGTTATGTCAGTTATTGAGCACTGTTTTGAAGACCAATACACTCTTTATGTCATATTATATGACAAATATTTTATTTTTTAAAATCATTCAAAATAAATTCAAAAAATTTAGACTAATAAAAAGTTTAAAAGTATTTACAAGTTTTATTGTTTAAAATTTAAATTATTTTATTGTAAAATGCGAAAATATGAACTTTGAATTTTTAAAACTAGATTTAGATTGAGTTCAAAATGAGTGCCGAAACTGATGGGAAAAGTGGTAAACATCTGAAGACAGTTGTCTTGAACTACGATATAGTGATTGAGATCTTCTCATACCTCGAGATCCAATCATTGATACGTTTGGAAAGAGTCTCCAAAGAGTTCCAGTTTTGCGCCAACTATTGGTTCCGCAAACAGAAGACACTTTCAATCAACAGTTGCTTTGAAACCAATAGATATCTACCGAAAGATGATATCATTCCCCGAATGTCTGCGTTTTTGACACGTAATCTTGAGGTCAATTCGGAGCAAAATCTACTTCTCATTCACTGCAAAGAGCGAATAATTTTGTTAACACAAAAGATGCCAAACATTGAATGTCTGGCAATCAGTGATTTCGCCTCCACTTTCCAACTACTCTATGATATTCTCGATGCCATGAAATCGTTGAAAATGCTATACATTTGCAGTTCCAATCACTTTACAGGTGAGGAATACAGAGAATTGGGACAACTTTTGTCAAGAAATATTACTGTTTTTGGTGTAAATGATCATCACATCGCAGATGTTTCAAATATGGTAAAACTAATTAAACACTTCAAAGGATTAACAACTCTATGCATCGATTTGAGTGATGACGATATTCTGGACGAGTTATTCAAAACAATACCACAAAGTCTTAAATCATTACAACTCGAGACTATAGAAGTCGATCAGCAATTGGCCCAAAAATTGATTGAAAGTAATGCTAAACATTTGGATTCGCTTTATATTCAGTGCTGGAGTTTAAATGACGAAGCGTTGGAAGTGATCATCAATAGTATGGCATTGAAAGCGTTTTCATACGATGGATGTCGTCAATCAAATGAATGGCATTGTTTGCAAAGAGTGGCCCAAAAGCAGACAAATCTTGTATATCTGAGTCTAAGTGGGCATGAATTTCGCGATTATGAATATTCAGAAAATTTAATACGATTTTCAAAAGTGAAAACACTTTTACTCTATTCGTGTAAACCAAAGGAATCGGCGTTTGAGTCACTCATGAAATGCTTTCCAGCGCTTAAGACATTAATCTTGAGTTTCACTGAAATCAATTGCGAGATCGAAAAAGAGGATTGTTTGACGTGTTTGAGACAAATGTATCATTTGATCGCAAAACACACGACAATCAAAACACTGGGGTTTTGTTGTGCAGATTTCTATGAAAAGACAGTCGTTTTATTTCAAACACTCAATGAGTTTCCAAATCTATCGGCCATTCATTTGAATTATTGTTACCACGACTATACAAACATTTGCCGCAAATTTATCAATTATTTCATAGATTGGTATTCAATAGACCCGAAGAAATGGTTCACAATCTGTGTTCACAACAATACCGGAGATCTCTCTATAGAGAGACAAATACCAAGGAATTTGAGAATTAGAAGAAATTTATAATGAATGCAGAGTTTAAACAAAATGTCAATTAAAGTGTATTTAACTTACGCCCAAATGTTTTGTTTAAAAATCTAATTAAAAATACGGTACAATTATGATTTTATCATAGTAAAAATAATTATTAATCTTAGAGTTGGGTTCTTATTCACAATAATAAAGTTAGAATTAAAATTATAGAATCTAATTATATATCGACCCGTAATATAATAATAACAATCTTAATGTTTCTTATATGCCGTTCTATAGTAATTTCTATGAAATTCAAATGACTAGAAATTATTATTAAAAAATTAAACTTAATTAAAATTTATAGGTTTTAATTAAATTTTACATTTTAAACATCTGGTATAAACTTTAAACATGTTGTTGTGACAAATATCTCAATCACTACAAGTTTTCACTTAATAACAACACAACTATAATTTCAATTATTATTATTCTGTTAAAAAAATTCAAAAATGATCAGTTCCTTATAAACTAATCTATTGTACAATAACTAATCAATACATTGACTGAAAATTGATACGAAAAAATGATTTTAAATATTAAGTTTATATTAATTGTCTATATTATAGCTTACGGTGAGTGCCAACCAGCGCTACCAGCGATCGATGTCACTAATTGTGAGTTATAATTACAAACTAAATAAAATAAACTAAAATTTATAACACATTTGACAAAAACAATTATCCAAAGGCCATAAGAAGCAGTGCTTCGAAGAGTTGGGCTGTTTTTCCAGCCAATCGTTTGCGGAAGAAGTGAAACAAGAGTTAACTTCAGGCGATGCCGTCTCTGCAATCAAGTCGGCCACCGCTCTCAACCAACTCCTGTCCATATGTCCCATACATCCCAACGTAATGAACGCCACTCTACTATTATTTACGCCAACATCGACTAAAGTGCAATCATTTGCAGCGTACAAGACAGACATGGATCAGTTTAAGGCCAGCGACTACTCGCCGCAAAGACCCACCGCTTTCATAGTACACGGATATACTGATTACTACGAGGAATGCGATGGCCAGGGAAGGTGCGCCTGGATGGCTGTTAGTCATAGTGAATGCACATTACATTTAAATAATTAGACAGTAATAATTTTCATCCATCTCGCTATTCTCGTAGACCATCAAGAACTATTTTCTATCCCAAAAATACAACGTGATAGCCGTGGACTGGAAAACGCCGGCCTCTGCTATCAATTACTTCGACGCGGCGTTCAATACGCAGATTGTGGGCGCAATCGTCGCCCGATTTATTGCAAAACTGATGGCAACGTCGGCCACCAATCCCTCTGATATACATCTGGTGGGTCACAGTCTGGGGGCACAGGTCTGCGGCTTTACGGGCAAAAGTGTTCAATTGATAACGAATGGGAAGTCAAAAGTTGGACACATCACTGGCTTAGATCCGGCCGGACCTGGATTTACGGGCAAACGACTGGATCCCGGAGACGCCAATCTGGTCACTGTTATTCACACCAGCGCTGGTCTCACCAAGAACAGTTTGTGTTTATTATAACATTATGTTTTATTAATTATTAAATGAACTGATATATAGTTAAGTCGGGCGAAAACCCTCTGGAATCGGTTCAGTTGTTTGGTTTCCTGGGCCATAGCGATGCATTGGCTCACTTTGACTTCTGGCCAAACGGGGGTTTGCTTTTCCATTATATCATACATTCATTTATATTGATATTGAAAAAGTGTTAAATGCTGTCAATTATGTTGATTTATACCGACAACTGTGTACTTGTAGGCAGTGGTCAGCGCGGCTGCGAGAAGATATCGGCCAAGTTGGCTAAAGAGATGGCGACCTCAGGATTCAGTGGTAAACCAATGATTACCAAAATTCATTATTATTTGCGATTATTAATAATATGTTTGCCGTAAACAAAGCGTTGGCCCAAAAGGCGAAATGTGATCACTCGAGAGCCACAGAATTGCCAACATATGAATTAAAAGCGCGCCGACCGGACAGTTGCCAAATGATTGGCTACCAGTGCGAGAGTTACAAAGTGTTTACGACTGGGAAGTGCGCCGATTGTGGCTCCGATAATGATCTGTGCCGTCCGATGGAGTTTTGGCCACAATATTATCCCAAACGTATCGATACGCCCACAAAGTTATCACTAAACAAGTTATATCTGTTGACTGCGGCAAAGAAACCCTTTTGTCTTTTTCACTATCAGATTGTGGTAAATATATTGATATATTGATAATATTGTCAATTATTAATTTATTTAATTTTTAATTTCATTTCAATGGTATTTAAAGATACTGATGGCGGAGACATCATTGGCCGGCACTTTCACCCTTAACCTCAAAACTGTTAAACCAATTGTCGCTAAGATTGAGAGCGATTTGTTAGGCTTTAAGTCGGGCCAGAATTATACCTATTTATACACCGATAGCCAACATTTGGGACAAATAGCCGAAGTAATGGTCAGTTTTAAAAAGAAAATCGCCGGAAAATTGTCATCGTTTGGCCCAAATGTCAATCCCATGGCTCCAAAAGCTGTTAAAAATGATCCCAAAATAGCAATGATTTCTATTAATTTTATGAGCAATTTTGACAAAAGGTTTGGAAATTTCTTAATTTATTTTATTGTGTAATATAATTATGTTTTCTATGTTTTATTTGATATATTGATATATTTTTTATAGTATACGTAATAAATATTCATCGCGATTATATGCCGACGCCAAGACGCCGACAGTATTTCGTATCAAAACAAATGCTAAAATATCCAAATTACCAAATAATCAAAGACCGCTGGCCAGAAAGACCCAGGGCAAAAGACCGCTACACAGAAAGAACGCGGGATCAAGACCTAGAACCAGAAAGATACCGGGATAATGACCAAGGGGCAAAGACCGCGAGGTTAAGAGACCGCTAGAGAGATATACAAATATATATTGTGAAATGTATTGATAATATTTTCTTTGTTATTTGTTTGTTAATTATAAAATAGGTTGCTATCATGATTTGTGTTAGTTGAGTTACCTGGCACGCACTTATAACACGATTATTTGTTTGTCAAAATAAAATTCCAAATTTCATAGGCTGTAGACCGATTTATTTTTATACCAATTTGTGAATATTTTAATATATAGTTCACCACAAACAACATAACTCTTGAGACTTAAAACAACCATAAATTATTTAGTAAACAATTCATATTAAATCATTTGCTGCTTCAACCCAGGTTATTTTTTAATTCTTGTTCGTGCCCGAAAATTTTTTATTTGATATATTGATTTATTTTTATAGTAATTCTTATACGTAATAAATATTCATCAAGATTATATGCCGACGTCGACAATATTTCGTATCAAAACAAATGCTAAAATATCCAAATTATCAAATTATAATAGTGTGTTAAATATGATTACAACAATAAACCCATTGACAAATCTAGGTGTTATTGTTTATAACTTTTTTACAAAATTATTATTTTTATCACCGAAAAGGTTTTAATTGTAATACAACAATTTAAAATATAATTTATTGACGAGTATGGGATGAATGAATGGATTAAAGTTTTATGATAAATGAAAATTTGTTCGTTTTCAAAATTTTAAATTTAAAAACTATGAAATACTTTTAAAAATTTTTATGTTAAAAACTAATTTATAGATTTTGGTCAAAATGAGTGCCGAAACCGACGGAATTAGTGTAAAAAGTCTGAAGACATTTGTCCTGAATTACGATATAGTGATTGAGATCTTCTCATACCTTGAGATCCAATCATTGATTGGTTTGGAGAGAGTCTCCAAAGAGTTCCAGTTTTGCGCCAACTATTGGTTCCGCAAACAGAAGACACTCTCAATCGACAGTTGCTTTGAGACCAATAGATATCAATCAAAAGATGATATCATTCCCCGAATGTTTGCAATTCCGACACATAATTTTGAGGTCAATCTTGAGGATCAACATCTAATTCTCATTCACTGCAAAGAGCGGATACTTTTGTTGACACAAAAGATGCCAAACATTGAATGTCTGGCAATCAGTCATTTCGCCTCTACTTTCCAACCACTCTATGATATTCTCGATGCCATGAAATCGTTGAAAATGCTATACATTTGCGGTTCCAATCACTTTACAGATGAGGAATACAGAGAATTGGGACAACTTTTATCAAGAAATATCACAGTTTTTGGTGTAAATCATCACCACATGGCAGATGTTTCAAATATGGTAAAACTGATTACAGGTTTCAAAAGATTAACAACTCTATGCATTGCTACGAGTGATAAGAATATTCTGTACGAGTTATTCAAGACATTACCACAAAATCTCAAATCATTACAACTCCAAACACACGTAGACATCGATCAGGAATTGGCACAAAAATTGCTCGACAGTAATGCTAAACATTTGGATTCGCTTTATATTCAGAGCTTAAGGTTCACTGCCGTAGCGTTGGAAGTGATCATCAATGGTATGGCATTGAAAGCGTTTTCATACAGTTTGAACAGTGATTCAAATCAATGGCATTGTTTGCAAAGAGTGGCACAAATGCAAACAAATCTCGTATATCTGAGTCTCGACCATCAATGTTTTCGCGATTATGAATACACACAGACTTTGATACGATTTTCAAAAGTGAAAACACTTTTACTCTATTGGTGTAAACCAAAGGAAGCGGCGTTTGAATCAGATATATAAAAAGCTCATTATTTAATCACACAATATTTGATATAAACATACAAACATATATTAGTCAAACATTATTTATGTCGGATAAATACAAACATAGTTTTGTAGTGTTACATATTATAATGTTATTTAGCCAACAAAAGTGTACAATAAATTAAAAGCATTGAGTTTAATTGATACAAATCTAATTATATTGTTCATAATAGTTATTATCTAGACGTTATTTAATGTTCTATTCATTTGTAATCATTTAATTAGAATCAGTTCAATTGATACAAATCTAATTATTAGATTTATATTAATTGATAATAAATAATAAAGGGTCGGTCAATATATTCGTTCGCTCGTAGAATTCTCATATCTATTAAACTATAAGAGGTATTTAAATTCTGTAAAGAGCATATAATAGGGCCATATCCGCGATTTATTCTCCACACCTAATCAGTAAAATTTGGTCACGTGGTATATTAAATATGGGACAATTCCAAACACCATAGTTATTTGCTAAACCATAAGAGATATAGAGATGGTCCCAATGCAAAATTTGTGCAAAACTAAAAGTTGAATGACAAAAATAAAAGAATTATCAAAATCGGCCCAGTACTTTAGTTTTTATGGCATAATGAAACTAAGTATGTTGTAATGTAATCCTATGGGTTAACGTTTAGTCTATGTCATGTCAAATATATGAAAAAATGAAGTCGGTGGCAATCCTAATATTATGGACTTATGTAATACCTAAGACAATGTTAAGGCTATGGGTAGCGGTAATCAATTAATTATTCAACGTTCTACTGGTCAACATATTATATTTTCTCTAAACAATTTCAATGTTTTATCGATTTTTCCTTTAAATTATAACATTTCGAGTCATAAAAACTAAAGTATTGGCCCGATTTTGATAATACTTTATTTTTGTCATTCAACTTTTAGTTTTGCACAAATTTTGCATTGGGACCATCTCTATATCTCTTATGGTTTAGCAAATAACTATGGTGTTTGAAATTGTCCCATATTTAATATACCACGTGACCAAATTCTACTGATTAGGTGTGGAGAATAAATCGCGGATATGGCCCTATAATATGCTCTTTACAGAATTTAAATACCTCTTATAGTTTAATAGATATGAGAATTCTACGAGCGAACGAATATATTGACCGACTCTTTATGTAACTAATATAATGAGATTTGTATGAATTGGATATTAATGTGTGACTAATATAATGAGATTTGTATCAATTGACCATAAATAATGTGTACACTATTTGTACACTATTTAACCCTCAATTTTATCAGTTTGTACACTATTGTCTAAAACTAAGTTGGTCACACTATACATGTATAATAATAATACATGTTTACCAAAACATATTGATATTAAAGTAAAGTATACATTAAGTTCAGAGTACACTATTCATGCATACAGATAGTGTATATTTAGTTAATTGTATATAAAATTCCATTGATATTACCATCAGTGAAAATACTAGCAAATATAATAACGGTAAAATAACTTACTTGACATCAATGTCTTTGCATAGCGTTTAAATAAATAATAAGGTGAAATAAACATATAACTAGATGGATTTATCCATTAAGACACATCATCATAAAATATGTTTGCGATTTAAAATATTGATCATGATCAAACTGAACAATATTATATTTACAACAGATTAATATATGATTTATCATTTTATGCCATACTTTTACGGCAGACAACAACACACTTACAATGGGTTTTGTTTTCAGTGTATTATTATTTCATATGATTTTTCATTTTATTTCAATAGCGAAAGGATATAATGGTTTACGTCGAGGAAATGCCTCGTTTTGAATGTAATACTAGTTGTAAAATTAAATTGTATTTGGACATGGCTATTTGCAAAATATACATACTTTAGAATCTAAAGTTTAGATATTGTTTATAGTACACATACTTAATNTCTCTCTCTCTCTCTCTCTCTCTCTCTCTCTCGTATAGTGATATGAATCAACTAAAAACTGGTATAATTTATATAAAACATGTACGTAATGTTATTTGTATGGGAAATGCACGGATGAATTGTCTATCACACTTTTAAAAAACTTGTTTCTCAATTAATTTCTATGCATTCTCTCTCTCTCTCTCTCTCTCTCAAAATCCATTTGCCATTAAAGGCATAGCTGTTGCAAATAATGTACAACAATTAATTAATTGTACTATTGTTTACTAACACAATATGGCACATCTGATGGTGTAATAAATGGGCAATAATGTTTCATGGTGATTTATGAATAAATAAACCATAAAATGTATGTTAGAAAGAAAGAAAGAAAGAAAGAAAGAGAGAGAGAGAGAGAGAGAGAGAGAAAATTTATTACAGAAAATATTTTCAAAAGAAATTACACATATTTTTGCCAATTTTAAAAAATAAATTGAAATATTTTTATAAAATCAATACAAAATCTATTATATCTATTATCACATGAAATCTATAACAATCTCTCTCTCTCTCTCTCTCTCTCTCTCTCTCTCTCTCTCTCTCT